TTTAATCTGGAGAGATTTCCAGTGCTCAAATTTATAATCTTATACAAATCCTTTCTATTTTCATATATTTTGAAAAATGTTTTTGTTTGGCTTTTATAACTTCCTTTTAAAAATGTTGCTAATTCTGCAAATTTTAGACAAAATTATTTCGATTATTCTGCACATTATAAAAAGCCACTTTTAGCATTTTTATTTCTAGTTTATTTGAAGTTATCTCCTATTTTGTTTCTGTTTCTCCTACTTGAATAAGAAACAATTAGAATTGCAGTGATATAAAAAATTTAAAAAAAGATCTTTTGTGTGGTACATAATGTTGTTAGAAACTTCTGAGATCATTTTTACCGCCACTATATACTTTCATCCTATGACTACTTTTGTTTTTTTTTTTTTCATTTGGTTAGTATGAATTTTATTACAGACGGAAACGGCAAAAAGTTCTGCCCACATTGTTGACAAGCTGGCTACTATGATTGGTGTTGCTGTGAAAAATCCAGTTAATCCATTGCATCTTCATTTTGTCTTTGAGTCTCTGTGTGTACTGATAAAACAGGTTAGTAATGTATACACTTATGCTTCCGGAGAGGGAGAGAGAGATTTGTTAAACGAATTACTTTGCAAATGATTTATTCAAAAATTTATAGCTCCATAGGGAACTGTAATTGACATTATTTTTGAAATCTTTTGCATGATTCATCTTTGCTGAGTTACAGGTTTACGCAGTAGTGGATGGTGGCATCGATAAGTTCGTGGTGCCCCTTATAGAAAATATTTTTTCCTCAGATGCCGTTGATTTTGTGCCATATGCACTACAAATTACAGGTTGATAATTTTGAATAAATTTTGTCATTGTGGTAACAATAGATAGCAACAAAACTGGAAAGAAAAATTTGCTTAAAGTTTATTACAGCTCTTTTATTGGATCAGGCTGAAGCTCAAAAACAAAAGACAGGTACGTCGTGCGTGGATAGCTATTTACCGTTCTTTGGTAATCTTATGAAAGGTGAATTGTGGCTGCGAACAGCTAATATTCCTGCTGCATTATTGGTAAGCCTGAATTTTCATTGCTTTCCAATCTCATTCGCTTTGCAATGAACATTTTAAACACATTTTTGTTTCTAGGTTATTGAATCGTTTATGCGCAGTCACGGAAAACATATTTTGGATAATTATGCAAACAGCCTTTTGGCGGTCTTCCAGAAGTTAATTTCTTCGAAAGCTTTAGACCAACACGGTTTCCAACTAGCTAGTATATTCCTTCACTATGTAAATGTATGTCTGTTTTTTTTTCTTCTTTTTTAATTCAAATTTAATGTTAATAACTTTAGTTGTAAAGGAAATGATAAACCATTACTAGAAATCAAGATCTGTTTATTTTTTAGCAGGTTGATGTATTAACGGAATCTGCACTCCTAATCCCAATGTTACGACGAATTCAGTTCACGAAAACAACCAAATTTATGAAGAATTTCGTTCTCTTTCTAGCTCGATTTGCGATTCTACGAGGAAGTGTAGTTCTTTGTCAGGTATGGTTTCGTTTTTTTTTCTCTTTTTTCTTTTGAGCAAAATAAACAAATTTCATGTTTTGTATAGGTTCTGGAATCAATACAAACGGGTATGTTTATGATGGTTGTTGAGAAAATTCTGATTCCTGAATTAGGCAAAATGTACAATACTACAACCTATGATGAAAAGCGACTGTGTTGTATTGGTTTTGCCAATCTTGCAGCTGACACAGTGGACAAATTAGGGTAAGTTGATATCTGTCATTCACTTCAAAGTTTATTTAACTAAATATCAGTTGTGCTCCATTAGTTTTCTCATTCTATGCACATTCATTTGAGTAAAAACTACGCATAATTCTAGCAGTCTTGGTTCATTTAATTTGCGTGAAACAGCCTCATTTTTGTAGTTTGACTGATTTGCATCTATTCGCTTTTATAGACTGCAATATGGAATATTGGTTGAATCATTAGTACGATTAGTGGAGGCTTCTGCTTGTGGTCCAACTTCTCTGAATACAGATGATGTTGAAGAACAGGGAATAGGACTTTCTACACTGGAATTGGAACGGAATGATCCCTACTGCAAGCTGAGTTATGCGCAACATCCGGATGTAATTGCTGCAGAAATTGTCAATTTTAAAGGTTTTTCATTTTTTTCTATCTTTTTGGTCAATCGTGATCTTAGCATGCATGCATCAATGTGTTTATTTTTATTACTTTCCATTTTGGTTACTGTTTTTTTTTTCTTTTTTGGAGAGGGAATTTCTTGAGACTGTTCGAGAATCTTTCTTTTGCTTCAATGAATTTGAAATTCATATGATTTACTCAGGACTTTGCGAAGATGTGGAAGCAAGTTTTCATCAAGTACATACATGATTCGCTATCACTATTTACTTGCTCACCTTTTTCTTATCCTGACTTCTTTTTTTTCTGTGGTCCTGACTCATTTTATACGCAGTGATGAAGATTTCGATGGTTACAGTTGCTTTATTGCAGCATATCTGGCTGAAGCTGTAATGGTACGCGCTGTAATTCTTAAAGCAGATTCAGCAAGTTGTATTAATGAAGAAATACGCGGTTTCCTTGCTGGATATGCGCAGCAAGTTTAAATTTTGGGAATCCCGAGTTTTGTTATTGATAAATGTTCATCATCAAATTATTGTATCCCTAGCTTTTTATGCTATTTTATTTTAAATTTTCCATATTTTGATCCTTAATCACTCTCGCTTCCCTCTTTCAACTTGATCTTTTTTTGTGAAATTGGAAATACATCGATATATTTATATTGCCCAAATATACAAATCAGATCGTAATCGTATGTGGGTATTTTCACCTTAAGAAATCTTTACAATTTATTGTTATTTTGTTGTCTGCAATTTGATGTGCAAATTTTGGATTGTGAAATAAATGATTACATTAAGAAATTGCAGAATTGCTCATAATATTCCACTCATATACATTAGACAATTTCTCTGGAATGACTGAAGATTTATCCTCATCACAGTATAAATATATGCGTTAGCTTTGTTTTTTTTTTTGACTATGCTATTTCTATCTGCTCCTCCGAAGCTGTTTTCTGAAGAAAAGAAAAAATAAGAAAATACATTACTGGAAAATCCGGAATTTGATCCCTTATTCCAATTTGCGTTTGTTTATTCTTTCGTAAAAAAAAATTCATGATGAAGTCTGAATTACTGTAAAATGAGAACTTAAAGCATTTCCAATTAACATTTTTTTGATGCTGAAAGTTTTCCACAAGTTTGATTAGTAATAATACTCTTTCTGTTGGCATTTTGGCTAGCCTATCATCTTTTAACTCAGTACTAATTTGGATCGTTTTAGGCTTACTCGCAGTTTCTTTTTTGTTTGATGTTGTTAGGTCGTAATATTATCAAAGGTGACAGACCCTAAATAACATTCATGAAACATACAAGCATTTTCAATTAGCCTGTCATTACTGGGCTACTTTTTTCTTTTGTGGCCAAAAAATTCGAACACTATAAATGTGATTATGTCAAATTTTTCCTCCTATTAATCATGTTACTACTCTATTATGTCCATTAGATCTATTAATGTTTTCATTTAATTCACAACTTCTTTCTCATCGGGAATTATTTCACTAAGTAGCCAATGGTCATTCATCATTGGTGTGTAATCTCTTCAAGGTTATTTTCTGCATCAATGAAGACATCAGTAAATTACCCATAATAATTTGATCAACTAAATTTCTTCCTATTAGTAGGATTACTTGACCACATACATACTTATATTCTACATGAAGCTTTTGCCAGCATAAGAGTCTTATTGATGAGTTGTCTTGAATCATCTCATTTTTACCTTTTTCTGTTTACTGGACAACAGCAAATGCAATGGACGTTTGAGAAGCAGTGTTTAAAATTCAATTACAAGCAGCATTAGCATTGCTCCTCCATTCCATACATACCATTCTTTATTCATGTCCTATCTACTAAAGCGATAACCTTTCTTCCTTTCTTACAATGAATTCAGTATTCTTTTTGAAATAAGTTTATTGAATCTATATAAAGTAATGAGGTAAAAAAAAAGTAATATTTTCAAATAAAAGAGTAATTGTTAAATGAATTTTGCCCCAAGTGAACATTCTTGATAGCAAGAAATAAAGGTTGAAGAAGTAATCATAACTGAAAAAAAAAAAAAAAAAAAAACCAAAATGTTAGCTAAATTTGGAAACAGGTTTGTAAGTAGTACAGATAGACAAGACAAACAGACGTTTTTAATAGATTTGACGAAGTTTCTCGTGTAACTTGTAGCAAATATATTTAAGTTTTAAGCTAATTTTCAGAACTTAATTTTAACTCTATCAGTAAAACCTCTATCCCTCTTCTATTCTTTCGTCGAGACCTCTACTCATCATTCAATTTATCAAGACCTAATGCTCATCATTTATTCTTATTAAACATTATTCCTTTCCATCTGATGTAGACATCGTAAAACTCTATACTATCCTAATTCGCAAAATTTCTCAACTACATTTCCCAGTTGTTGATGAACTAATTTAAATACTAGTATATCAATACTGATCGTAAGTATACGATTATTATGAATATCTAGGAATCAGTGTAAATACTGGAATAATTAACGATAAGAATAAGTAACAGAGAAACTTCTTTTTTTTTTTTTTTTTTGTGAAAATGTAGAAACACAAATGTTGGATGAGTTAAATAAATGAAGTATGAATAACATTATATCCACTGCAATTACTGGCATTATAAGAATAAACGACAGATATGTGAAATGATATCTGACTTTCAGAGTATACAAGAAATGAGTGCTAGATTTTCGAGTTCGAATCCTTTTTGAATTAATATTTCAGTCTGGATCTGAATTCGGAACGATTTCCCTCTGTATTCCACTTATTTCTTCCCAATGCTTTTCCAACATCTATTTCTCCTCTTCATGCTTTGCATATTTTGTTTTGTTTCCGTCATCTCTCTCAACTGTTGGTACTGTCACGGCAAAATGGTGGCAGAGGAGAGTTGGATGACACCAGCTGGTAGCTGTTGTGACTTAGATGTTACCGAATGCAATCGTAGCTACTGCTTCTTTGCAGAAGTGCGAGGTTCATCTCCTTTCTGGATTTCTGGATGCACCGACGATGAATTCAATGGTAATCAAATTAAATAACACTCGTAACATTTACTGTTAATGTTCACTGGGAATTTTTTATCAAATTAGTAGAAGTCCACAACAAACTAGTCTCCTAACAGATAACTGTAGTTTTTTATAGGTTGTGATCAACATGATATACCATATAACTCGAATCTCTTACGTTGCCAATGTCAAACTGACTTTTGCAATCCAATCGACAGGATACCGCGTTGTTTTAAAGAATTATCCAATAATACTGCAACAAAACCTCCTGGAAGAGTATATGACATAAACAGTGTTTCGGAGAGTAATCAAATTAAATCATTCAGTTCAATAATACTTCTCATACTAGTCTCAGGTTAGTAATATTTGCAATAGCTGTTATAATAATTAATCTGTTACCTATTAAAATTTAAATCAAAATATTGAATTATATACAGCATAATGCATTTCTAGCATCCATATATATGTCCACTGTTAATCATCTCATAAAATTTATTATATTTAGCAAATAAAACGAACTTATCATATAAAGTAATCATATTTAATGCAACAATTTCAGCTAAATTTAATGAGAAGCAATAAGGAGTAATTATTTTACTTTTAGGCACATTGATGTATTAGTGGCAATGAAGTAATCATCGATCGCAGTGATAAATTCAAATTTCTCTTTCTCTTCATATGAAAGTATTCTTATCAAATTGAATTGCATAGGAACATTCCTTACGAATTTATTAAGTAAACAAAACCGATAGATACAATTACCTACCTCCATGATCAAATGAACCAGTAAAACAACCCTTCAGAGCTACCAACCTATCAACTAATCAGGGGAGAGGATTCAACTCTCTCCTTTTGCGCCCCTTCTCGGCCGGGTGGGTATTTTATGGGCTGATGGACATGAACGTTCAGTGGTGGTACTAGGTTAGCTTCTCAGTATTGGTACGTAGTGACGTAGATTTTTAAGCTACGTCAGTATGTCACACGTACTTTCGTTACACTAACTCTATTTTGTCAGCACCTTAACGTGTCACCATCTTAACGAATTGTCTACTTATTTCTTTCTTCCTTTAATGTGATTAATTATATATTATTATCTGTTATTATTTATAAAATATCATGTTTGTTGTTATTGTTGTCGTTTTGGTATGCTTTATTATGCGTATATTCATTGAGCATTGAATAAACTTTATGAAATTCTTCATATACATACCACAGAAGAATGGTGAATGTTGATTGATATATATATAACAATTGTTGACATAAAGGAGTACTAGAAAATCAGGAGCAACAATGAAAAAGTATAGGAAACGTTCAACGTTAACGAATTCTATCCTAATTGATGACTAATTCATGATCATGATACTTTATCTCTCTTATGATACTCTCTTACCGCGTTGTATCTTAGCTTCTATCTTCAGCAGTGACTTTTATCACCTTTCATTTTAAACGTTTTTATCCTTCATTATTTTTTAACTGATTTTTGTAGTCTTTTCTATCTGCTAATTTCTAAATAAGGAGAATTACTATGAAATTCATAAGAGAAAGAAATAATTGTGGATGTTTTGATGATAAGTAATCAATGGCATTTACTATTATTGTAGACTTTATTCAAAATGAGACAATGATATAGTAACGTGAGTAATGAAGTAACGAACTAACTACTATGATTCATTAGTTCGTAAAATGGTATGATGCTTTTATTTATAGGAAACAATGGAAAGAACGCAATCAGCACTTATGGATGTTGATAAAAACTACTACGATATAAGAGATATATTGGCGTGCAAACAAAGTCTTAAATGTTTATTCTCCAGTCCTCTTCCTCGAGGTGAATTGTTTTTAAAAGTTCTTGATGGGAATGCCACTGGTTTGCAGAACTAGACCCTCCAATACACAATCACTTTTTTTTTTGTAATTCACAGTTTTAGAGATCTTCCACTTAATTGGTCAAAGAGCCCCAGATATGGAAGGAGGTTTCTTTCGAGCAGATTTGCCACTTTTCATGATCAGGACTTTGCCGAATTGTAGGGTATGTTTGCTGTTTAACGGTGGTATCTGTGACAACATAAAGAGAAAACATTCAGCATACAATGATAATGAATATATACAGGTTGTACCTCCAACCGAATTCAGTCCAGTACAAATGCAAGTTTTGCGTGCAGCACCAGAGCATGTCGATGTGATGCATTTGAATCAGTTCTATTTCATCCTTTCGAAACATATTGTCAGATTAATTCCAGGTTACTTTTCCTGTTTGATATTGACAGGTGTTTTCTCGTGCATGACTCAAGCCTTCTATGCAAGCGTTGGATTTCATTAATGCAGAACTATTTGTATATTCATGATTCCTGCAAATGTTGCAAAATTCCTCCATCTTTTGTTTCTGCCTTCTGTAGTAAGAAATTAAGATGCCGGTTTAAGAGGAGAAGTTGGGTATCTGGGGCTACTTAATCAGTTTGTTTTCAGATGAAGATGGACGCTTTCTGGCAGAAACAGCACTGTTTTCATTTCTTCAGCGTAGTGGTTGGATCTTAAACTGTGCGTTGCATCAAGGCGCAAAGCCAAAGAAAATTGACTCAACTGAAGTGCAACTTTATCGAGAAGCACTCAGATGTGCTATGCAGTTCAGTCGCTGGTTCAATTCGAGGCAAGCTATTTGTCGTAAAAGAGACGGTAGTCATTTAGATTGATGTCGTTTCTTTTACCAAGGACTTTCTCTTTCTTGTCATATGTCGTTTCTTTTACCTAAAAGTGTTGCTGGTGATTTAGAGGATCTGATGTAATTTTCACCACTCTTGTAATTTAAAGTTTAATATTATTCTTCATTAATGTTCTGTGCATTGAATGAGTTAATAGAATATATTACAACTATGGGTTTATGTTTTGTTGTTGACCGAACTACTTTGTTGATCTCAATCTTTTAAGTTTCATTTTTTTTTTTTTTTTGTTTCAAAATCCAAATTTATTCGTATATATTATCCGTCAGGAGCGCACAACAGCGTTTTTTTAATTATTCTTTTTCTAAATTAAGCATTATCTATATCTAGTATTTCCACTACGTTTCTTATACTGTTTATTTCTCATCGATTAATTCCAGTCTCAACACAAATGTGTAGCTTATTTCCCAGCTTGAATTCATCATGTTTTCTGGGTTAGTTCATATGCATTTGTACCTTTCTCTGCAGTTCCTTACGCTGATTGTATGTTAACTGTATTATGTATCTGTGTGCCTTTGTATCGTTACCATTAAGTACATTCAAATTCCATGGCCTGAAAACTGTTAGGTCGTTTGTCTTCCTAGGTTAATTGACTTTTCTTGTGCGTATTTTTTTCAAAAAACTGTAAGTTTAGGTTCATAATATCTTCTGTGTATTTAGTCTGTTTTATGTTTTTTTTTTTTTTTTTGTGATTTAGTCTGTTTTATATTCAAAATTGTTTTACTGCACCATCTACTGTTTAGATCAGTTATATACTTTGCTACTAATGTAGCATGCAGCTATGGCTACGTTCTGCCTGTATTCATAAACAATCCAGTACAAAATACTTAACGTAAATGTTTTGTTCAGTTGATGGAATTTGCCAGTGTGAAAGCAAACATTCCAGAATTAACAATGGATGCACTAAGAATGAATATGACTTATGTGACTCTTCGCTTGTTCCTTTTTTTTTCTGATATATTACTAAATTAAAATCTTAATCGTACTTTTTCTCATATCTCACCGCTTGAAATTTCTAGATTTGCTAACTGAAATATGCATATTTGTTATTCCTGGATCTCTTGCTCACCATATTTTGTTATAGATATTTTCATATTTATCTATTGATGGAATAAAAATTTGTTTGATTATCTATTCTGAATAATTAGTACCTAATGGTTATGACCACTGCTTTTGCTAGAGTAGAATGAGTAGGTATGATTGCAAGAGATACCAATATTTTTCATTACTTTTCATAAATTACATTCAGGCTTAGTGAATCGTGAGCTGGGGTATTATTTGAACTAAAAATTATCATATTTGAAATGTGAGGAGAGACTGAGGACAATACAACGACATAGGACGGATCCATCAATTTTGATAACTATAAGTGTGACATCGGCGTTTGCATGTCCCTTCGTTTTAATACTCAGAAGGAACTGTTATTGCATGTAATCATTACTCAATTCCACATTTTGGAGTGATTATGCTTACCGATTTTGCTTATAAGCTAGCAAGCTTTGGCTTCGTATTATTTTTACCGTTGGTATATTACAATTGAATGTATGTAGGTGAGAGTGCTTTCTTTGTTGGAAAGGTTAAAAAATGTTCGACGCTTTACATTTCTTTTGAATTCATATTTGATTGCAGATTGTGTGGGTGTTGGTCGTTTCAGCTAAGATTAAACAATGCATTCCTTCTATGAGGATATTAGTAAGCTATTTGGTCTCGAACTTTATGATGATGTTATCACGCTCTATGAACTATCTTATGCTGAGCAAGCTTTAAGTAACATTCAAGCTGCAACTGTGGTCTCAATGGTAGCCGAATCCTATTATCAGCATGATAGTTTTATCAAAAGCCAAGAGGTATGTTCGCTTCATTTAATTCTATGATCTTCTAAAATAAAGAAGGATGATGAACAATTTTGATTTCAGACTTTTTACCGTGCAATTACGTTGACAAAGGCATTGTCAAAACCAGTGAGCAAAGATTTGGTATGTTTGGTGACTTACTTGGATAGGAATAAACTATTTTGAAATTATTGGGATAGATTTTGGAATCCAATTTGCAACATTTATCTGAATTGAGCTGCTTTTCAGAAATTTTCTGAAGCTGAATTAAAATACCGACTTCATCGCTGTTTGCTGAAACAGCGTAAAAGAGAGGAAGCAATGGGCGTCTTGGGTAGCATTGCCGAGGAGGAAATGACTCCAAAAGTTTGTTTTTCATCTTTTCCCAGAAAAATTTCCGAGTAATCAGTGATATGAGTATTTGTATTTGCGTTGCTGTTTAGTTATTACTGAATGTTGAGAAATGAAATGTCATATAAAATATAAGAAGGAACCTTTCCAAAATATTCGAAAAAAAAAATTTTCCAAAAAAAATTTTTACGAAACTTTTTATTAGTTATTAGATGCGGAAAAAATGAATTAACTGAAATGTAGTTATATTATTTAATAAAAAATGTGATTTCTGTTGTGTTAGGTTAATGGATGAGTTGTGAACAATAAAATGTGAAAGTACTATCTATATTCTGTCTGATTTTAGGTTATATCAGCATTGGCCCGTCTACATCACGTACCTTCGAATGATTATACTAATCGTGATAAGGTCAAGACGGTGGGAAATGCAATGCTGTACCATAAGTGAGCATTTTCGATT